ATCATACAGACTTGAAAAATAACCTTCCCAATGTTAAGTGTTTTGGTGATAATTTAGTTTGAGATTGTTGGTAATGTTTGCTAAATTTTAATGCAGAATTCTTCTAAACCTTTCAAAACACTCGTATTTTTTAACACAGAAAAAAAATAATTTCAATGGGTTTAAATTTGTGGTCCATGACATTCTAGCAATTTCTTACTTACTGTTATTTAGGTACATTAGATAGTGATATACTTAATACAATGTGAAACTTCCTGATTTTATTGTAAAATCTGATTTGTTGTTTAAAAACTTCCTCATATTTTCTGTTTTCTGGAGTTTCAATAGTAATAAAATATATTTCAAAATGAAAAAAAAAGCACTTCCTCCTGAGTGAAATAAGTAAATAATAAACAACTTACATTTATCTGTTATAAAATTTGATTTACTCACACTTTATACTGTGTTTATACCATAAAAAAATCAGTCATTTCAGGGATCTTCTTTCTAATTCCTTCACATGTAATAATTTAAATGTTATTTAAAGAAACACATTTACACACTTATGAAACAAGCTTTTGTATTTTCTTAAGAAACTGTAGGAATTCTTATGGGCATATTCTATTTTCCAGTACCTTTTACATTATTCCTCTGAAATAAAGTATGCAAAAAATTGCAATAAAATGTGCAATTAGGGAAATGAGCAATTCTGCATGTTTCATTCCACGAATCTTTTCTGATATTAAGAATGCTTACTGTACTTGAATGCAATTAGTAATAATCTTAGTACTTTCAACAATGATTATACACTTTTTTAAAATTACACTCTTTGTTTTCACATTACAAATGGTTTTGTACAGAAATATTCCATTTTACTTTCTTCCAAATATTCAGAATACTGACAAAGGCTGAACCTGTATAATTTATCAAGAAATAGCTGAAAAAAAAGTAACTTCTGCTCTCCTTGGTTTTATCATTTGTATAGTGTTAAAAATCCATTGTTGTTCAATAAATATGTATAAATTTACCAAAAATATGTCACTGTGTTTTTTCATCTAATGGTGACTTACAAAATATAAGGGAATAGGAAAGAAAAATAAGACACTAAACAATGAAACATAAGAGGCAGTATAAAATGAAGGTTTTTTAAGAAAATTTCAAAGCACTGAAAATGTTACATTTTGTTCTTTCCTTTTGCCAGGAACTCTTATATCTCTGAAGAATTACTTCCCTAAGATCAGAAAATGGAAATATAAGTGTAAATATTTAACAAATATTGCAAACATTAAACAAACAGGGCTGTGTGAAAGTATTTCTATTGCAGTATTCTTTTAAAAAATCATTTCAATAAGATCCTTTTAAAGGAGCTTTTATTTTGCTAACATCCCTCATTCAGGTTCCTGGAGAAAGAATATGTGGGCAGCAGTGACTAATTGAACTAGCAGCTACTAATTACCAAACAAGTTTGGACAGAGTATATTTATGATAGCCTAATGGAATCAAAACCATTGAATACAGTCAGTGTGAGACAACCTAAGAGGGCAATGGGGTTTTATCTGATGGCTTAGTGAGTAATCTGACTTTAATTAAAGTTCATTAACATTTGTTAGCTGCCTACTTTGTCAAGGACTCAGCAAAGCTACTAGTGCAAAGACAACTCAAAGTATCCCTTGCTTTGAGTTTTGTGGGGAATATAGACACATAACAGATCAATTCAGTAGGATTTTTAAAGTGTAACGTGTTAACTTCAAATACCTTCCTTTTCCCACAGTCTTCCTCATATCTGTAAGTAGTGACTCCATTCTTCCAGTTACTCAAGTCATCCTTGACGACTCCTGTAGTTTTATATTTCTCTACTCCAGCTAGGGGCAAATTCTGATGACTCCACCACAAAAAATATATAGAACCTGATCACTTCTCACCAACTCTACCTTTACTGTCTGGACAAACCTACTGTCATCCTTATTCAGATTATTAAATGAAAACCAATCTGTTCTCCCTGCTTCTATACTTGTACCTTCCAAATCTATTTTCAACAAGGTGGCAAGATCGCCCTACAAGCTTAATCATGTCACTTGTACAAAATCTGCTGATTGTTTATTATTTCACTCAGTAAAATCTAAAGCCTTGAGAGTGGTTGATAAGCCCCTACCAGACCTCTTCCCACTCTGAGCCTTTCATCTCAGCCTCCCTGTCCCCACAGCCGCACTTCACTGTGGCTGCACTGGTTTACTTGCCCTTTCTTGAATTTCACTTTTGTCTCCCAGCCTTTCTTCCTTCCTGCTTGCTGTCTCCTCTTGCTTGCAGAGTGTTTTTCTCTTATTCTCTCATCACTTTTGTTTACTCAAAGTCACTTTCTCTGTGAGGCTTTCTTTGCACACCCTATTTAAAACTATAATCTTCCTAATTTTTATACTACTTCCTAACATATTTTTCTCTATAGCTCTTTCCACCATCCGATATACTAGCTTTGTTGTTTGACTCCCCTGACTTGAATGTAACCTCCACGAGGGCAAGTTTTCTTTTGTTTTATTCACTGTTGTTCCTCTGGCACCTAGAAAAGTGCTCAACACATAGCAGTCTCTCAATAATTGTTGAATGAATGGCTCTCCTTTTTGAAGTACTCGCCAATCCTCTAAAGCAAATTTTGGGATGCTCTTACTGAGTGTCCATAAAAATTATCACATATATAAACCTTATTTGTTCACATTATGCTGTATGACTGACTCTGAGTTTAACTATAGTGACTGGGACAGCAACCAGATTTATAGCCCAGTGTGAAATGTAAATGTGACATCCCTTGTTCCAAAATTATTAAAATTTCAAGATGGCAACTGCCAAGTATTAAACCGAGTGTGAAGCTCTTCTAAGGGTAGGTTGTGTGCCCCTGAAGCTAGCCCTGTAGAGGAACTATACATGTGTCTCCTCATCTTCACATTCCAAGAGCTAGTAATGATCCTGGCACAGAGCAGGTGTTCCATAAATGCTGGTTGACTGAATGCACGTATCCTTATCTAGAAGAATTTGAAAGCATTCCACTTACATAGTACCATCAACAAAACAGCCCCAAATTTTTAAAACATAATTGAGATGAGGAGCATGAAGCAAATTAAATGTGTTTTTGTCAGTGATAGGACAATTTGAAGGGGTAGTCAGGATTAGTGGTTGCTCTAAATTCTAACTATATTGAATGGTTCACTTTTGATCTAGATTGATTTCCAGAATTTACTAGGTTTTCTATCACAAAAATTTTTTAAAGGTCTAAAAAGAGATTATTCTGATCTACTCTGTTTTATCTTACCCAACAAGTCTTTATTTTATTAAAGGTGTAAACTGGCATCCTTCAGACAATATTCCCAACAACCATAAAGGAGATACATTCAATGGTGCAGATACTTTGTGAATTAACTGTATTAACTTAAAATAGGCAATGTAGTATTTAGAGAACACTTTTTGTTTCCTTGATGAAAAAACAAATATGTGTAATCAATCTATAATCTTTATTTAATTACCAATAAGTTCAACTCCCAGGTAGAAGAGAGATTTTTGCTATCAGTGTTCTTGGGGCATATTTTAAAGAAAGTAGGAATTTGAAAATGAACTTTAAATTCCAAGAAAATTTTCCTTAGAGAATATAAGGGATGTCTACTTACAGTTCATTTTTGAAAAAATAGGTATTCTATTTTCTTTTTTGCTGACTTGAGAAAACTCTACAGGTTTCTAAAATCTGCAATGTACTGAATAGATAGATGAAAAGAGATGTGGTTGAATTATTAAATGAAATAGAGCCTTCTCCCATCCAAGTACTAACCAGGCCCAATCCTGCTTAGCTTCTGAGATCAGATGAGATCGGGCACGTTCAGGGTGGTATGGCCACAGACGAGACTGAGCATTCTATAGAGGTAGGAGCAATGAAGGATCTACAACTATTCTATCTTTTCTTCATTTTCTCAAGATAAAGACAGCTTTTGCTATACAGGCAACAATGATATGATAATACCTCACATCTGTATAGTACTTTTTAAAAAAATTTTCAAAGGACTTTTTTCTGTTCTCACAATATCATTGTAATGAAAGTAGAACAGCTAGGTTATTTTTGTGTCCTTCAGAAAACTGCATGCACACATTGAAGAAAATTTAAGGAAAGAGAGAAGAAAATGAGTAAGTAAAGAGTATGAGAATCAGTAATCATTTGGCATAAATTTTTCTGCCATAGTTACACATTCATTGTTATTTTAATATTTTATTATTTCCACCAAAGTTATAGCCAAATCTCTATAATGTTAAGTTTATTACTCACTTGTAAGTATTATCAGAAGAAATAAAAGATTAATTCAGTATAGGTATCATGAAGATTTTAAATCTCTTAAAAGTCACTGTCATTTTCTTAAAACTTGCAAATGTAAGGTACATGTTATAATTGCTCAATTAATTAGTAGTTTATGAACATCTTATAGGTATTTTTTTCTACCTAAGAAGCTCAAAACATATGGTGGTACTTTATCACATTTTGAACTCAATATATGTGGTGATATCTTATGAATTCAGAAAATATGTCAAGGTAGAGTTCTGAACTGCAGTATATTTTGAAAAACCAAATTAATAAATATTTCATGGAGAGATATAATTTCAATAATGTTATGCTACATAAAACCAATGACTTTAGTAAGTCCTAAATTTATTAATGTAATTCAGAACTTTTTCTGGAATGAAAGAATACAATGTGATTATTATTTTAAAAAAGGATTTTATATATTTATTTTTATAGAAATGGGAACAGAGGGAGAAAGAGAGGGAGAGAAATATCGATGTGAGAGAGAAACATTGATTGGTTGCTGCTCGTACATACCCCGGCAGGGGACCGAACCCACAACCCAGGCATGTGCCCTCACCAGGAACTGAACCAGCAACCTTTTGTTTTGCAGAACACCACCCAACCAACTGAGCCACAGCAGTCAGGGCTACAATGTAACTATTTTGAGAATTAGCTGGTTTCTTCTGAACAAATTAAAATCCAAAGATCACATTTCTGCATATATTCTATTCTTGATATGTCTGAAGAAAGAGACAGTTAATAAGACTTGCAAAACCTGGAAGAAAAGGAAATAAAAAGAGCTCAATATGTAATCAGTAAGAATAATTTGTAAAGGTAGTGCTTACTATGTAACTACCAAAATGCAAACTGCTAAGAGAAAAGGGATTAATTAGGTTGAGAATTTTCAGAGTAAGGTACATATGATTGTGAATGAGAAGTCTGTGGAGTGAGTCTCTAAAGTAACTGAGTTATCACCAAGTTCATTTATAAAGGGGACTAAGGAATAGACTGTTCTATTTAATAACATGGGCTATCATTGGGCTAGCTGTCTTGATGAACTGCTAATCTTTTTTTTTGTTGTTGTTATTGTTCACCATTTTTCTAACCATATCATCAAGTGTACAAAACTGACTCTTTATAGCAGAAGATCATGATAAGTGGTGTGTAAAAGGTAGATAGTAACATGGATTACAGATATCATCCCTCCTCGGTCTTGTCTTCAACTTCTCAGCATGAACTCAAAAGCATTTCAAAATAACTATATTAATGCTTATTAAATGTCTTGGCTAACCGCTTCATCTTCCAAAGAACATATATGCATAACCCATAGATACAGACAACAGTGTGCTGATGGCCTGAGGTAAAGGGTGGTGAAGGCTGGATGGAGGTGAGCAAAGGGGGAGAAAATGGGGACATCTGTAATAGCGCAAACAATAGAAATAAACAAAAAAAAGGGGTATCTTGGTTTACCATCATTTGGAGACTGAAACTGTCACCAGATGAAGATGATTTATGGAAATCAGTGCATTTGTGGATGGATAGAAAACTAAATTCAGTATCTTGCTTTGTCCAAACTACGCATTATATATTATACATTCCGATATTATAATCTGCACTGTAATAATCTATCCACTCACAGTTTTCTTGAAACCAGAGCCTTCACTGGCTTTCATCAATTGTCACTGAAACTAGAAAATGAAGTCTTGCTTCTGAATCTCAACTCTGCAGTTGGTACCCTGAAGGTCATGAGATATATCTATTTTGCTTCCCACTGTACTTCTAATATCTAGTATAGTACCTGAACCACTGTAGATATTCTCCACCCTTCAAATTTACTGAATGAATGAATGAATAAATAAATGAATGAGTGAATGAATGAGTGAATGAATGGAGTCTATGAGTAAATAGAGGTACTAGTGTCAAAATATCTGCCTGGATTTCAGAAGTTTGCCAACTTGCCAAAATGGTACTGTTACCATGTGAGATAGAAAGTATTTATTTTTCATATCACAAATTATAAATCAGTGAAATTATATGATACCTGCCACTTATTAACAGGCTCTACGAATTTGGTTGATTTAGGGGTATCATCTTCAGCTAGACCTGTACCTCTCTTGGTGATGATAATCTCAAGATCTTGGCTCCCATTGGATTAACTTTTCAGATTAGGTCTCTGGCTGGTTGTTCTGCAGTTTATTCTTAATACCACTTATACTTAATATTTTTTACCTTTAAAAATAGGAGCAAAAGCTTACCTCTGAAACCAAAAGTCCAAAGTTAATCCCAATTAACATTAAAACATTAGCTTGATACCATGTGATGATTTTATTTTCACAACCCTAAGGAAAGGAAGTTACTTAGAATGACTTGGAGATGCACATGGTTTCATACATAATTCTATTAATAAGAAAAAGAGACATAAAAATTCAAAATTTACCAAAGTCTAAAAAGCAACTCAATGTCTAACTGGAGACTGAATTTATTAGTCCTGATAGTTTGATATGATAGCAGAACACCTTGGTTACTACTTTTAAAGTCCTAAAATGTAATGCATTTAAAATCAGAAATTGATTGTCTTGAGAGGTATTTGATTTTGGGCAAACAATTGTAATTCCACAGGGTATGTACTACTGCCTAAAATGATTAATGCCCAAAAGGATGAGTTTTTTAAAAAAGCAATGCTGTATTAATCTATAAATAAATTACATAATTAAAGGGTACATCTTAAAATTAGAATAACATTAGCATATAAACTATACAAAGTATAACAAATTCTTGCAATGGAAATCCCTAGTTTGTCAATATTCCATACCTGTGAATAGCAGTTGCTCCAGGTGAACCTGTACTCTTGCTTCTGCCAAATTTATCTAAATACCACCTCTGTTATGGCTGAAGTGCCCTCCCTTCAGTTTTTGCCAATCCTCACAACTCTTTAATACTGGTATGGCGGCTCTCCTACCAGTCCTGAATACCAGAGAGTTCCCAATAGTGCCTCCTTCCTCTGCACAGATTTGGGAGGGAGGGTTGGGGGGACAGGTTGATGGTATCCTCAGTTCTAGGGGCGCTTAGGTCACATGCTTCCAGAAAGTTTGTTTATTTATTATATACCTGAGATAATACTGCATTCACCTAAATATGAGTTCAATTGAGCGAAGTTACTTAAGAACTTATTCACTATAAATAACATTGGTATTATATAAAAATTTGCTCACAATTCTAAATCAACTTGCAAAAATAAGGTACTGCAAATACTTGCAACAGCTTTGACTTATTTTTACCTCTAGGTAAGTTGCATTCAGTGGCTCATCACAAAACCAATCTCTTATTGTAGAATTTGTGCAAGAACATGGTATCTGTTCTGAATTTTCTTTATTCTTATTCTTTATCCAATCTGTGTAATTGTGTTGGCCGCAACACTGCAACTAGAAAAAAGATTCTAGGAATTATAAAATAAAATATTAAAAATGCAGTTAACTACATAATTCCCATTCACAGTAGTGTTTTTATGATGAATTTATCAACTTATTCTCCATTAAAATATAGTGAATAAAAAAAATAAGTACATTTCTATTTGTGTATTACTTTGTTGCTGCTATTGTTGATGCTAACCAGAAGTAAAGATCTCCACTACATAAGTGGGCTATATTTGGCTGAAATTGTTATATCTGAATTTATTTATAGGAACCCAGGATGAAAGATACGCTTGATTTACTAAAGCTATAAACCATGCTTAAGGCCAAAACATAGACGAGAGAATCACTTTGGGCATATCTTCCTCCTAACTGTAGCAGTTATCATTATATTTATCCTCAATACTCTGCCATATATGTTTAATATACATAAAGAGATTCAGGGTTATATCTACTTTCTTTAGAATTAAGGTGAGATATTAACTTTCAGTTTTGTATTGTGTAAAAAATTGCAACAAAGAACCAAAAAAGACAATAAGAAAAATAGTCATGGAGATAGTTAAACATCTAAAAAAAATCTCATTTCCAATTCTATCAAGTTGAGTTGGGAAAATGTAAAAGCAACAGCTCATATATTTGACATCTAGAAAATAAGAGAATGTTGGAATAAATATTTGTTTTCCAAACTTGTTACTGAAAGTTATAACATCAATCCTGCGTAGGTCATAACATGTACCAACAATCTTGGCCTTTTTGGGAAATGCTGAATGACTGAAATACAGCTTCAGAGTTTGGATATTAAAATTTAGTTCAACCAATCAAAACTACATATATTATATCAATTATATTCATGGATAGGAGCTGTAAGCTTGGTTCCCATTAATTATAGTAATGTCATACATAGAATATTTTCCTACTTATCCGTTTATGACCCAAAGAAAAAGATTTCAGTTCTAATACAATCTGAAAAGGCAATGCATGCAAGATCACATACCTTAGAGAAAACATTTATAATTACATTTCAATACTTCTAAAATGCATTTTGGTTAGTAAATGTACTAAAATAATGAATTATTTCTATGTGAAGCATCTAGTGTAATAGTTAAGAATACAAAATCTAGTGCTAGATTATCTGGGATTGAATCTTAGCTCTTCCACTTATTAGCTGGATAACACTAGCTCGGTTACTGAATATCTCTGCCTTTCATATATAAAATGAGAATAATAGTTTGATATCTTTTTTTGGAGAATTAAATGAGTTAATATATGCAAAGCACTTACAAAAAGGTCTGGTGCTATGTAAATGTTTGTTCTTTTCTTTATCAAGCACTCTGTTCGAGATGCTGGTCTGTTCCTGTAAATTATTTGGCTGACCATACCAATTTCGTTCCCTGCCCAGAAAGACCTGAACTGTTAAATAATAATCTTAGCAATGTTAACTAATAAGTATTAATTGCTTCCTATGTCCCAGATTCAAGGCTTTCTCAATGTTCTCTATATTACTTCACTTATTCCTGCCAACAAGAGGTAGGGGTTATTCTGCCCATTCTACTAACATGAAGAGTGAAGTTAAGAAAATTACTTATCCAGGTTCACAAAGCTACTGTGTGGCAATCCCAATATTCAGGCTCAAATGGGAACCATCATGTTGCTCTGCCGCCAGCCAGCAGGGACTGTGCTCAGACTTATTTCTCACGGTGCAGAAGGACAGATGATTCTCCTTGGCAGAAGACCACCAACACTTTTATAAGGAAACCAAGTTAAAATGCACGTCGATTAAATCAGAAAATGAACTACAAGTTCCAAAAGGAAGATAAACCTAAGATCTCTAAGTCTGGACAATGCAATTATACCCAGTTTTTTTGGAACAACTATGAGAACATCTCATTCCTCTTTTCCTATCTCCTACACTTTCCTATATTGCTCCCTACCCTACAGTGCGTTAGTTTTAGTTTTGTGTTTATTTGTCTTACTGTTTTCTGTAAAGCATTCAGAGTTGTCCACTTAGGTATGTCTTCAGGCACATCTTTAGACCCGTACTGAGAAATGACTAAATCCATTTCATCATGCCATGCTTGGCGAACCTGTTGAAAATTGTATTAAAAGTGAAATTTGGATGGAAACTTTTCTTGCCTTCTCTTAAAGGAATATTTAAAGTCAGTTTGTTGATTTCTGCTTATGTCTAAATGCATTTTTTTCTCCCTTATAACTATTTTTAGCAATGTCAGTGTTCATGTACTTGGTCTTTAGCATTCAAAAGTAATGGAGACAACTAATTGAACAATAAAAAAATAAACAAACATTAACATATTGGAATAAAAAAAAATTCTAGCTCTTACCCTCAAGAAAATGTTAATAGGACTTCTATAACTGACTCCTAATTTGGTCCTCATAAGATGTCAAAAGTTAGAAAGTAGAGATACTCTTTCCATGTTATAACTAAGGAGACAGATATTCAGAGAATTTAATTATTTGCTTTGTTTACAGGAATAAGGAAGAGGAGCTGAGACTTCTAAATATGGTTTATTTAAATTCTAGTCTAATGACTTTTCATTGTTTTATGCTGTCTTTAAATAATGAAAACTAAATAACTGGTGGGAATACCATAATAATTAAAACACCTGTAAACCCTTATGAGTTACTTATGTACCTATGCTTTAATATATTAAAGATTAGAATAATATAAAGTGTTATTTAGAGCTATAAGTTTTCTAGCTTATTCTCTAAGTTAATTTATATTTAGAACAGAAAATGAAATTTTTCCATTTTATAGTGTTGCAGGGAGAGGACAGACTCCTGTTCTCATTTGCCCTCTAAGGTAAGTATGCATTATTTGGGAGATCCAAATGGCTTACGAATCTCCCCTTAGTACGTAAGAGTACAATGAGTTTCATAAATAATCTGTGTGACCACAATATAAATAAAATTCCCTCACACATATTCAATTTGGTGGCATCCATTGAAGCCCTAGTGCATCTCCCACACTGAGTTAGGCACTGTTAATGACATAAGAGCTTTAGAAGCTCATAAGAGCTTAATCAACTTTGTAGATTAGATGACAAATCAATATAAACAAAGCTGTTATCTCTCGGATGAGCGAGTTTGAAACCAGGCTCTGTCATTTGGCCATGATATATTTAAGCAAGTATTTTTTTGCTTACAAAGCCTCAATTTCCTGTTCTAGAAAGTAGGACTAACAATGCATCTCGGGGTTGTTGGGAGGATCAGCAATATAATGCCTGGGAAGTGCTTATCACAGTCTCTGGTATACGGTGGTTATTATTAAATGATTGTTATTATTAAAGTAGATAGGAGTATGTGATAACACTTACTAGTAAACATGGGTGACATTGATAAATTACACTTATGTGTTAAGGGTCTTTAGGTATTATATTCAGGTTTTACCACTAGTTCCAAAAGTTAGAAGCTGATGAATTGAGACCTGGTGCTTTGCCACCAAGGCAGCTTTACAGGGCTTACCTGCTGCACACACACACATTCTGGATGTAGAGAGAAGAAATTTTAGCTACAAATGCCAGGCCCTGGGTCGTTAGATACTCAGGACAGATGCTAAGTACAAGAGAGCAAATAGAGTTGGAGGGCAGTGGGTGTTATATAGAAAGATTCTGTTGGAGTTTGGCAATTAGGGGTTTACACATAGAGAGAATTTGAATGCTAGGAAGCAGAGGAATTAGTCAGGGGCCCGCTTTAAGTTAATAAAGGGAAGTAAGAGGGTTCTTATATAGCTACTCTATGACAAGAACTTTGTAAATTGTCAGTTAATGATAACTCTGTAAGGTAAGTAGGCATTAACCATACTGCACAGATGAAGATGTAGGCTTTGGGCTGCTAGGTATCTAGTCATATGCAAATTTTATGACTTCAAGTCCATGCTCTTTTCACTACAGGACAATCTCCCATGATCCAAAGACAGACCTTGATTGTATGGAAACGGACATTTCACAGAGGATTGAAAGTAACCATAGATTGTAATAGGTAGGTTTTGTTACAAAAAATTTTTTCAGGCAATTTATTATGTGCTATATTGAACTTACCTAATTAATTTAACTATATTACTCATGGCCATACCTCTGCAAAACCCATTAATTATTCAGTCCATCTTGATAAAACTGCAAATTTCAAATTAGTGCAAGGTAAAAGCTATTTCTTTATAAGAATAGAACGTAGTAAAGTGCCTGGGTCAGCAGTGGTGGCCCGGGCAGCCCAGGGCCAATTGTGTACCTCCCACACACCTCACCTTCTCCTCTTCCCTCACATTCTTTGTTATTTGTAACATTCTTAATCTTCTACAAACAGAGTAAGTCTTCCAATACCAAACCCAGTCTTCCAGTCTGATACCTGGCCTCTTTCTGTATAGAATTCAAGTACTTTCATTGACTTTTTATTTCCCCCAAAGACATTTATCTTTAGCTTTTAGTATAGGCTGTTGGGTCTCAATAATCTAAGGTACCAAATTTTCTTTAGATTTCCAATAAAAGGATGATCTTTCCATACCTCCTCTTTCTTTGTGAAGATGAGTGCTGAGAGTGCAACCTGAGCGCCACAGGCCCACATTAACAGCACTGCATACTGAAACAAAAGAAAAAGAGATAACAGCTGTGCTTCTAACATATTTTTTAGATGCTTCAATGATGGCAAAGTACATCAGATGAAATATTCAGTCTTAAAATATGCATAGGTATTGCTAAAGTTTCCTGTTCTCATATACATGAGTGAATTATTAGAAGAAAAAAAGCAAAAAAAAAAATATCAGTGAACATTTGGTTAAGTGTAAAATAGAAGGAAGTGATAGTACTTCCTGAAATGCTCACAGATTATCCAGTATAATGGAGTTGGTGTTTATACTGTCTTCATTCAGATTTAAAACTGACACAGGAGGAAATTTAATTAGTCAGTTCCCTTGACAAGTGTAGACTAAAACTCAGTATCCAGAGTGACCACCCAGATGGTTAGTGCTACATAAAAGGTAAGTATCTTTGCTTTCTATTTAGCAAGACACAATGACTGCCATTAAATTTCTTATCTTCTTGGTAGTACAGTGTGTGTAAATTAAAATTAATTATATTTAAAAGAAATGTTAAAAACTATATTCCACTTAATGTGGTGAATTGTGGTCCATACCTTCCACAAGTATGGTAAGTTGCTCATGTTAGGTCTATTTTCCCGATCATAATTTATCTTTTTATATAACATGCATTGGGATAGAGAGAGTACTAGTCAGAAGCTAGAGTCAGCAGTTGCATCTGTCTTTGTTAAATGATAAATTGAGATCTCAGTTATAAGATAGCTTCCTTATATGGCATGCACACAAGGAGAAAAGGCGCTGACTATAGGACATATTTTCTTTTGCTTGCTGAGCTATAATGCTCATTGACTTTAATATACTTTATTCTGATATTAGTTTTCATATTCTTAAGTTTGGTTAATTGTTGTTCACCTTTGAAGGTGGATTCATATTGACTTTGTGCTAAAAATTAATATGTAATTGTGTGAGTGCTGAGGTGCAGATTTGATCCATGGAAATCTCCATAAGAAAATTCTACCTAGAACACTTTCTTGGAACGGGGTGCTTCATTTGTCTTATGCCCAAGAGCATACTGTACAGCTATGCTTTGATAACATAAATCATTCAACTCATTTCTGTGACTTGGACACTCAAAAGCGAAGATACACATTCATGCTGTTGAAGTGAAATACATACCAGAATTAGGAGCCATCTGATTTCATTGTGAATTCCCAAATAACCCAAGAGGCAAAGAAAAACAATAGCTGATCCAGTTCCAACCAAAATTCTGAAAATATATGCTATCAAGTGATTATTTTCATCTGTAGAAATTATAAAATAACTTATTATTAAATAATATTTGTTTTCCATTTAGTAATAAATGCAGCAATCTAAATTATTCCTAAACAGCTGTTGCTAAACACTAGGATTCTCTCTCTCTTTTTTGAAAGTTTATTTTAGACCCTCTTACTTGAAAAAACATCATTTCTTCCTTTAATGACATCATGGAGAATTTCTTCAGTTTCAGAAGATCTCTTCACCTTTACCTTGTCTTTGTTGTCTTCCATAAAAGACCACTTTTTTTCCCCTAAGGTGAACTCTTCTACAACTAATGTGTATCCAAATATTTATGTATTTATTCATTCCTCAAGAAGTTTTTAAGTGACTAAAATGTATAGGTTAAGTTACCCTGGGTTTATTGCTAATATGGCCCAATTAAAGCTATATTTTATTCTCTCCACATCTAGATTAAGCAGTCTGTGCTAGAGGATTATATATATTCAGTAGGCTAACTGTTTAATGCTATGGCACAGACTGTAGAACACTAAGTGCTCAGTAAATGTTAGTTTAAAAGCAAGAAGAAAAAATATATTAAATATGCCCTAAGTTCTATGGGAGAGGCAGTGGTGTGCTGGAGCAGAGTTTGCTCTGGCTCATAAAAGGCAACCATTAATTTTTTTGTAAAATATAAAAGCCAGCTCAATTCACACTGACTAAAGTTGGCCATCGTGGGAGTAGTTAAACCATAGAAGTCAACAAACACCGTAAATCAAAACTCTCCAATCCAACACCAGTTAAACATTTACCAGCACATGTTTGGGTACAAGAACACCTACTACAGTAGGGGGAGGATTTTGGAGTGTCTAGGGATGTCCAACCCATGGCCCATGGACCACATGCCCACCAGGATGGCTATGAATGTGGCCCAACACAAAATCGTAAATTTGCTTAAAACATTATGAGATTTTTTTTCTGATTATGTGTTGCAATATATTTTACGTGTGGCCCAAGACAACTCTCCTTCTTCCAGTGCGGTCCAGAGACACCAAAAGATGGGACAACCCTGGTAGACAGTCAAGATTATTGGAGAAGGTAACTCCTGAGCTTAGGCTTTAAATGATAATTAGAAATATCTACAGTGGAGTAGTAGAAGCATCTGGGGACTCAGAACAGCACATTGTGTGTAGGAAGCTCTGCTTTGCTGCTGCTTACAATAGGAGGCTGGTAGACTGGAAATATTTACAGGGGCCAAATTATGGGCACTTTGTATGGTGTTTTCTAGTCCTCCTCACTGGAATTAAATTTCATGAGGGCAGGACCTTTATCTTTCTCATATATTACTGTATTCTCAGCTCATGGGATAGTGCCCAACATGTAGAAGATGCTCTATAAATGTATTTGTCATTTGAATAAATAATGGCAATGGAGAGCCAGAGAAAGGTTTTAATGTTACATGGTTAAATTTGCCTGTTAAATTAATTACTTCAGTAGCACTTGGAAGAAGACTGAGAAAGGAGATCAGGCACAAGTCTATTGGGGGCTATTACAGTGGTAAAGGATAGATGGGACTTTAGGTGGTATGGTGTTATTACAAATGGAGAGATCAAGGCAGAATACTTTCAAAAGAGGTAAATTAATTGAATGATGGGATAAAAAAAGAGGGGACGGCCCAACACTTCTTGCCCCAAACTAGTTATTTTCAGTTCCACATCTTGAAACCTTAAGTGAAATTTCACTAAGTATTAATACATGAGTAATGGGTACAACTTTAGCCTTCCCTCTTTAAAAGAGAAAATCACTTGCTTTCTACTCTTTTCCGCATCTCACAGCCTAGAAAGTAAACTTGGTGTTGAGCCAGTGTCCACCTGGCAATCAAGGACAGCTTTAGGAAATTGCACAGTAACGATATAGAAAGAACCTGGGTTCCTGAATGACTCAGCAATCTCACTCTAGTTTGTTACATTAAATATCCATTTTGTTTGGAAAAAATCTTAAAGGATAAGTTTCTAAATACCTTGGCAGGAGGTTATTCATAAAAAAGAACATGAGGATTAATGAGAATTATCTGTCATGTCCAAAATCAAGGGGAAAAGAGAAAAGAAAATGACTTACTGCACACGAGTTACTACATTATTAAATTAGATATTGTATGAGAAGTCCTCAGCCCAGTGTCTGACGCAGTCAATACTACAAAAGTGGAAGTTACTATGTCTTTATTGGGGGGAAAGGGAGATAGAAAGGTCCACATACCCATTTTCTCTGAACAAACCCCGAATGCACTCAAACATCATGAGTATTTTCCCATAAGCAAAGTATACAAAAGTATACAAAGTGAAGAGAATAAAGGTTCTAAGCACTTAGAATAGCTGAAGTTTAGCTAAATTAGTCAATATTTTGTAGCACTGTATTACATATTAAACCATTTCATTTATCTTTATTTTTCTTATAAATATATTTTTTTCTTACTTGATATCCACTAAGACATAGGTTGGCTCTATAGCACATGCTTTTGCTGTATAGTTAATGATTAACAGTGCTATTCAGTAGAACTTACTGAAATAAAGGGAAAGTTCTATATCTCCACTGTTCAATAAGGTACCCAATGCCCAATAGCCACATATGGCCATTGAGTGCTCCAGATGTGGCTTCTTGCCTGCCAACCACTGATATTTATATCAAAATAATACTTAGGCTATTGAACTTCAGTCCATGGTGACCATAGCATATCATGATATGGTAAAATAAGGACAATGTAAAGATTTAAAAATTAAAAAAAAAATAAAGTTAAATGTATTCTTTTATTCATATTTAGAAAATATTTTAAATATATTTAAATAAATATATACAAATAAAAACATTATATATTAAAAATTTAATAAATCCTGGACACATGCAAAAAATATCTGTACCACCACACTGGGAAAAATATGGAGATGCATTTGGGCCTTGCAAAAATCAGAGTTGCATGATGTCTCTCTCTTATCTCTCTCTCTCTGGAATCTGACTCCTCTCACTTTTTCCTCTGGACCAGCTGCTGCTGTGCTCAATTCTGTCTCGCTATCTTGGCTACCTGGGGTGAGGCTAATCCTAGAGTCTTTTAACCTTAAATTCAAAATTCTATGGGAAATATGTGTATTGAGATAAAATTGGCATAAGACATTGTGTAAGTTTAAAGTGTAAAATGTGTTGGCTTGATAAATTTATATATTATAACATGATTTCTATAGCAGTGATAGCTAACACCTTTAGCCTGTCTCATATTTATCATTTCTTTTTGTGTTGAGAATAGTTAAGATTTAGTCTCTTAGTAACTTTGAAGTTTATAATACTATGTTGTTGACTATAATTACTATGTTGTGCATAAAATCGTCAGAACTTACTTATCTAGTAATCATAAGTTCGTACCCTTAAACAACACATCTCCAGTTCTCCACCACTTAACCCCTGATAACCACCATTCTAATCTGTTTTTACAAAGTTAGTTTTTTTCAGATTCCACATATAAGTAATATCAAAGAGTACTTGTCCTTCTCTGTCTGCTTTATATCACTCAGCATAATACTTTCAAAGTCCACCCATTGTGTCACAAATAGCAAGGTTCCCTTCTTTCTCATGGCTGAAATATTATTTATATACGTGTGTGTATACATATCTATCATATCTTCTTTAAATATTTATTCATTGATGGACATTTAAGTTGTTGATATAGGGAATGTATTTTATTCCTTCTTGCCACTCTTCTTTGCGGGAGCCATAATGCCAGGCCCAAATCAGAAAGAAACGGCATTTACTGGTAACTGAATTTTAAAAGAGATTATTTATCTTGGGCAGTGAATCTATATTGCTCTTCATTATCTTTTGAAGTTTACAGATTTATAAAGGTCCAGAGTTAGCAGAATAATAAAAATCTTCCATTTCTCTCATCTCTCTTGTCCAAAGTTTCTAGGTTTCTCTCCCCCAAATCTCTTTCTTCTTTACGGTCTTAGATTTAAGTCCTGTCATTTAATAAGATGTTTCTAAAACCAACTGACAAAGACCTTCAGTGGAGAAACTGAATTTTAGAGAAATACTGCCACCTGCTGAATAACTCATGCATTCACTTGTTTAAAATGAAATGGCTTTGTTTTCATTCAGAGTGAAAAAGGAAAATAGATACATACCTAGACCAGAGAAAAAATTATTTCTATCTAATAAAAGCCATACACTAAATCCCATGAGTAAAAGTCCAAGAATCTGCAAAAAAAGTCAATGTGATTTTTAGTAATTGCCAATAAAAATATGAAAATGCATTACATTTTCTAAATAATTTTGAAGTCTTACCAAGAAAGCTCCATTAATGAGATGAAGAAAGTATTTTAAAATTAATAGTTTGCTTCTCCTCAACATTCTTTTCCTCTCCAGAAACTGATGATTCTGAAAAGATAACCACAATTTTTACTATAAACACTCGCCATAGTAACTAACAACTTGAAATGATTCCGCCTTCTAATGTTGTTTATTTTTACACTTTTCTTTCTTTAAAAAAAAATTTATTTATTTTTAGGCAGAGGGTAAGGGAGTAGAAAGAGAGGGAGAGAAACATCAATGTGTGGCTGCCTCTTGCATGCCTCCTACTGGGGGCCGTGCCTACAACCTAGGCATGTGCCCTGACTGGGAATCGAACTGGCAGCCTTTGGCTTTCAGGCTGGCACTCAATCCACTGAACGAAATCAACCAGAGTTATTTTTACATTTTTCTTCTTTTACAAGTGGGCAATGTAACTTTCTCCTCTGCTCTCTCAAATATAAGGATATATTGAATCTAAAAGCAGTACCTATCCTTCTCTGTTTGCCTATCTTGGCTAGGCAGTTGAGACCAATAGGGCATTTGTATAACATGTCAATAGCTACCTTACTCAGCTTCCTGCAGTTTTCAGGAAGTAAAATATTATATAGTTTCTAGTCTTACCATACTTTTCTCCTTCTTGGAAAACATCCCTTCAGTTCTTCATGCCCTTACTTGTTCCCAGAATAAAGTCAGCTCTTCCTTGAAGTCTTGCCATTGCCTCAATTTTTTAACTATTTTCTCCTTGACATGTCTTTCTTCCTATGTAGTCTCTGAGGTCTTTAAATGAGGGGATAGGTCTTGTATACCACATACAGTAGGTATTCAACAGACATTTGTTCAATGAATGAGATTATTTAACTAGTCTATAGTTTAGGGCACACAATATTAAGAAAGGAACTAACTTAAGGTTGTTTTAATTAAACACTATTTTCCAGGGAACCAATTTTCCTAAAACCTCTATGGAAAAATCAACATCCTATTGGTTTTTATTGCTTTATTACATATCAATGCTTTAAGTTTTCCTGGGTACTTTCCTTCATTGCTTTAATTCTAGTTAGCAGCATAAAAAAATTGTAGTTTACAATGTTTTAATACATACAGTGACCACTAGATATGATGAAATATTTAATAAAAATAATTTGAAGCTATTTCTGCCTAGTTAGGAAGAAACCAATCTATTTGTTAAAATGAAGAATGCTTTGGAAGCGGAGAAATACGAGATGTCTAGGTTAGTGTTCACACAGTTCCCTCTCTACCCCGATCCAAGGAAACATTCCTTCTAAAATCTTCCAAGGTTCTTCTTCACAGTTTAAGCAGTCTCTCCAGGTTTTGCCTTGCGTCCTCTGCTTTGAACTCTCTTGCTCTCCTTACGTTTCCCCAATTGCTGTCCTCTCGTCTTATTCCTCCTGGGTTTCTCCAGTACCAGGCCTGTTTGGATGGAACACTCAGCTGGAAAGACTGCCTGATTTTTGTTTCTCCCTAAAATGTAATCTATTTTTTGGCATCAATTATACTTCATCCAGCATATTAGAAGATTGTGATCCTCTTCTAGAGGCAGAAGGAGAGGTTAGCCCCAAAGTCTTGGTCTCCATTTGCAAATAAGAAAAAGAAAGGGGACTAATGAATGAGGTTGCTCTGTGTTAACTCTGGTGTGAAATGCTGACTATGTAACCAAATGCAGGTCCCCCTACCAGCTGCAAGGAAAGCCAGACCCCTGGGACAGGTGCTGAAGAGAAGGAAAGTGGTTTATTCAATTGTCAGTCCCCTGAGAAGACAGGGGACTCTTGCCTCAAAGCCAATTTTAGCTTCTCAGTGCAGGCAGGGGTTTTGATAAGGAGGGAGAGGGAAAGAACAAGGAGATCAAGGGGAGGGGGCTGACAATTTCTGTATGGGTAGGCCAGCACAGTCCTCCCTGATAAGGACCTTGCAAATCGTCAAGCGTTCTTATGGTCTAGCAAGATGGTCTAGCATGTGTCATCCTAGTTTGTGTCACCCTGGTTTGTGTCATCCTGGTTTTTGTCATCTGGTTTTATGGTTGAAGGTCAGCAAATCTCCCAGAGCTGGTATGACTGAAGGTTGGAGTATGTATCTTTTGAAGTTAGTTCCTAGCATTCTTATACAAACATGCTATTTATTTACAAATTACTTATTAGTCAGAGTCAGCATTTACAGAAACACTGTCAAAAGAATGGTGGGGTGCGTTATAATTCACCACTGTTACAATTTCTCACAGTTACTAAGGCATACACTTGATTGTTGATTTGGTAATGATTAGCAGGTTAGAATCAAAGAGAAATGTTTTATCAAAGGAACCAAATATTAAAATAAAAACGTTTTTCCCAGTCCAAGGAGAGTAATTGGTTCTCTTCTAGGAAATATCTTAAGAACCTGGGTCTCGCTCCCAAATCTGCTCAAGGTGTTATAATTTATAGCCAGTAGGAAAGAAAATATGATGAGTAAACTCAGGTAAACATCTCTTAAACAAGTAAGGAGAGAGCTGCACATTTTCTCTTCTGCTCATATTCCACTGGCACAGACTTAGTCTCTTGTCCATGCACAGTTGAAAGTACAGGCAGCTATTGTCCAAAATGAAGGGGAAAAAACGTGAATTAGGGTGGGCAAGCCAGACAAACTGCCTGACGGTTAGGAAAGAGCATTATGAAAGATAATTAGAGGGAGAAAAAGAGGTCTGGGAACAGTGCACATTTTCTCTACCACAGAAAAGATTCTAAGATGATCAGAAGGATTCCTGTAGTATGGGAAAAATAAAAGAATAATGATATTCACTGGAAATAGGAAAATTGTTTGAAAACAATTTGTAAGTCTCATAAGTTTAATACTTCGTAATTGAGTTTGAATGAGTAGAAGGTGTCTTTGTGGTTAAGCACTGGAAATGGATTGCAGGAAAATGGGTGGCAAGAGCTAACCCGTAGAGAGGTGACGTCACAGTCATGAATGAAAGAGAAAAGGGAGTGACTAGAGATACAATGAGCAGAAGTAGAAGCATGAGGCAAGAGGACAATGATGTAACCAGGTACTTGGTTTTTTAAAGCAGATGTTTGCAAAATAAGAACATAATCAAAACATGATCTCATAGAAACCAATAGAAGAAGAAATTTCTAAAATGGTGTTACATGATATAGCAGTCAAAAAGACTGAGAATTTAGTATTCCCAGAGTAAGCCAATTTAGTAAAGAAGATATTATGGTGACCTCAAAATAGTAGTGTTTTAGTCTCTTTGGTCTCCTATGACAAAGTACAACAGACTAAGAGGGTTATAAACAACAGAAATTTATTTCTCATCGCTTTGGAGTTTGGACATCAAATCAGGGTTCCAGTATGGATGGGTGAGATCCCTCTTCCAGGTTTCAAACTTCTTGCACCCTCACATGGTGAAAGGGGGTAGAGTGCAGTGTGTGATCTATTTTATAACGACACCAATCCCATTTATGAGGAATGCATCGCATGACCTAATCACCTCTTAAAGATCCCATTTTCTAACACGTTGGGGGTAAGGATTCCAACGTAAATTTGGGGGGCACACAAACATTCTGACCATAACAAGGGGTTCCAATGAAAGGGAACACAGAAAACAGAGTGTCTAAGCAACAAGTCAAGGAAGCCCACAGCCATGTTTGCACAGAATGGTCAGAGGAGATGGTCATGTAATGATCTTTTCAGCCTCAGCCTCAAGCCCCATGTACTAGAAACAACATCAATGAAACTGTAGATGTGCAAACACAAATGTACACAACAAGTCGGTACAGTTCTTATTTAAATATTTGTAGTATGGAAGATCAGTATTTTCTTTTGCTGTAGACAAATGATTTGTTATTAACTTCATCAAAGTACTGGTGTGGTATTTCTCTTGTTCATTTTCTTTTATTTTTTTATTTTTTATTCTTTCAAATACATTTGTCTCTGCCTTCCCCCCACCACTTTCCCATGCCCCCTCCCTCCTTCCCTCCCTCAGCTCTTCCCCTTTGGTTTTGTCCATGAGACCTTGCTCTATGTTCCTTGACTTTCCCCTTCCCTTCCTTTTCCCTGCCCCCGCCTCCTCCTTCCCGCTTGTCTTTGTTGGTTTCTTTTCCTTTCAGTGTTGCTGGTCTTTTTTTCCTTGCATCTTTGTATTGTTGGTTAGGTTCCACTTATGGGTGAGATCACATGGTATTTGTCTTTCGCTCCCTGGCTTATTTCGCTTAGCATAATGCTCTCCAGTTCCATCCATGCTGTCGCGTAGTTTAGTAGTTCTCTTGTTCATTTTCTGATTAGATAACTAATAGCCCAACAGCAGAGGTATATTATAATAGCATAAATGCCATAGGGAAGGATCATTTACAAAAATTAATCTATCATAGTGTAATTTTCTACTAATTAAATAATACTGTAATTACTTTTATTATTGTTTTTATGTTCCTTCTAAGTGCCAAGAGATGGGAACACAAAAATGAATAAATATTAAAACCTGTGGCCAACTCTGAATTGTGTTGGGGTTGGGGGACAAGAAATAAAAAGAGCTGGGACATTTCAAAGAGGAGATGAATTTGAGGTGATCCTTGCAAAATGATTAAGGCAGTTAGACAAACATGGGGTAGAGGTGGGAAGTTTTCAAGACAGACAGACCATAAGCTAGACAGCTAAGGGCACGGGGCCATGGGTCAGAGTGGCAGAGATGAAAGATAAGGCTAGAGAAGCACAGACTGTGAAGGATCACGAATGCTTTGTGAAGAATCTGCTTTTCTCTCTACTTTTTTTTTTGCCCGATAATCATGTATTTGTCATAGAGATGAGCTCGGCAGGCCAAAATGAAAGCAGGAATTGTGTAACTGGTCATCGGAATAAAAGTTTTGTGGTGCTAACCGATTACACCATGTAAAAATAGTCAAGAAGGCTGTCGATAAAAGTGCCTAGGAATCTTTTTGATCCATTCAATTAAAAAAAAAAAAAAGCTTAAACAAGGGTTTATTGTCTCAAAGGTAACAATTTCATTAAAATCCACCTACGAGATGAAACCACAAAAGCAATAGTTAAATGGCATGTCTCTTGGAGAATGACCAGGT